CCCGATAATTTCCATCTACCCATTTTCCTAATCTGTCCTTGGTTTGTCCTTCTGTCCATCCTGTCCACACTTGTGTTTGGGTCACATGAACCAGAGCCCATGGTGGTGTGTTCCTTGCACCCTCCTGCCTCTCATAGCGCTCCCTCCTTCCTGCGTCAGTATGCTGGGCATCTGGGCCGCACAGCCCTTCGCAGAGAACTGGGTGGAGGTCTGGAACGAGACCTGGCCCACCTGAGTCTTCACAGATTAGGATCTCTGGGTACACACACACACACACACAAATACACATGCACGCACACACGCACAACCTCAAAGCATTTTTAAACCTTTTTGTGCCCTTGTTTGTTTGTGTGGTAGTGGGGGGGTGGGGGGGGGTGTCAAGCTATTCTGAAATCACCAACTTTTTCCGAAGACTCACACAATTACTTGAGCTGCCCCTTAAAAAATGTTTAATTAAAAAAAAAAACATGTTAGATTTAACATACACAGAATAGGGAAGGATTTTTTACGAATTGATTTTTTAATTCGTTTGGGGACCTCGTACATTCCAGGATCAGATGTTTGCACCTCATGTTGCGTACATTGTATCGTAGAGTTAATTAAATTAAATTACCATGTTGCCATTTTTTCTCATTTTGCATTAAAATGATGATGGAAACGTGTCAGTTAGAAACAGATTTATATTGCACTATTACATATTTAAACTCAAGGCCATTTACCAAATACTAAGTATTAAGGATGTTAAGCAGTATTACTGCTTAAGCACAGTAGTTTCCATACGGCTGGTGCAGAAGGGTGTGGCATAGACAACAAAAAACAGCATAGCTGGACACAATGTGCTTTATGCTAATGCTAAATGCTCATGTTTGAGATAAAAAAAAAATTCATATTACACACATAATATATAGTATTGGAACTACAAAGATCCTCATGGTTGACGCTTTAACTGTCACTGGTCAGTAAGAATGTCTGCTAGTGTGGCAATAGCACCTTGACGTTAGGATGCTGGAACTGTTGGGAATGTTTTCTCGATCTGCTTTGTTCACCTCATTTTTTAAGTAATCTCTGTTTTTCTGATACAGTATCTTCTTTCCGAATCTTTCTCAACTGTTACGTTGTTCATAACAAATATGGTTTTATGGATGTATTTTGCTTAATACGGACCTTCAAACACCGTGCTCAGCAAATATTTAGTCCCCCGGAGGAAGAACTAAAATAACCCACGTTTCACGTCTCTCAAGCCATAGGCTATTTATTTAAATTTCAAATCAGTGCATACTACAATCTTGAATGTTTCTATAAAAAAAAAGAATTCATTTCACCAGATATTAGGACGGGAGCTTGTGATTGCAGGCCGCTCACCACAGAGTGAAGAGAATTGGGCTGCATCGGCGTCAGCAGAGAAGACAAACGTACACAGCTGTCATGATGACATGCAAGATTTCCCGTGACAAGAAATGCAGTGTCATGCTAACTGCAAGCAGTTCCAGGTCTTTGCAGCAGTATTTTTTCTTTGATAGTGTGTAGGGATGTCTTATATTAAACTTTTTGTCCAAAAACTTAATTTTGGATTCCAATATCCGCCGATACCGATATGTTATATTTGCCCCCAAAACTTATCAAATCAACTGTCGGGCAGTGGTGGCTTAGTGGTTAAGGAAGGTTGCAGGTTCGAGTCCACCAGCTGCCAAGTTACCCCTGAGGTGCTCTGAGCAAAGCTCAAAAGTTGCCCACTGTTCACTTTGGTGATGGGTTAAAAGCAGAGGTCACATTTTCTTATCACATGTATCTGGTAAAAAGTTAAATGATCGGATGATCTTTAGTAGCTTCATAATCTCTCACCCTGTCATCTTGACAAATATTTATTCAACCCTGACATTATGAAACGGAGTGACAAACTAATAATTACTCAGTGATTCAGTTTCTGATCCTGGACCTGGATCTGGTCCCGCTGTTTGGTTTGGCACCATGCGTGTCATCATTGACTTTTGGGGCGTTTTATATGTCAAGTCAAAACTGTTTTTGATGTGAAAGTGGGGCGTGCTGTGTGAACACCGTTGTTTAATCATGGCTGTTATGACAGAATGAAGATGACATTAAAGTTTTTGTCTTTTTTTTTTTTTTTTAAAGTTCTAGAAGTGCTTGGGAAAACACTGAGGTTTTTTAATAGTACCGAAACGTGGTAATAGCAATGACAGAAGCATCACCACTCGAATTCATACATTTTATTACATTCGGACACATGTCAAACTCGAGGCCTGGGGTCCAAATGTGGCCCGCCAAGTCGTTTTGTGTGGCCCATGGGAGCGTAAAAAAACATTTAAATCCAGGCAGAGTTTTTTAACCTGGTAAATTATTTGTTTTTTTTTTTGCTACATGTACAATAACATAATATCAATTGCAGACACATTTAATGTTACGTTATGGAATAGCTCCATATATACAGTCTGCTGTTTACAACCGGCCCTTCAAGGGGAACTGAATTGCTGATGTGGCCCCCTGGTGGAAATGACTTTTGACACGCTTGCCTTAGGATGTTCTCTGGGTAACCTCCCTGGTGTTGGTGCCTGCTACATGGCCCAGGCGTGGGCAAACGTTTTGAGTCGTGGGCTACAATTGTCCTAAAATTAAACACGGGGCTGGGCCTTTTTCTGCTGTCACCTCTCAATGAATTGTTTTTTTCTAATAGCTACAGCTAATATATATTTGCTGCAGCTGTGCAGGAGTCAGTGTGTATGTGTGTTTGTGTCATAACTGAATTTTGTCCTTCGCTTTAGACTCAGGAGGGAGATGGGGAAAAAAGGAACAAAAGCTGAAAGAAGGCTGGTGGAGATGTTTATGCCTCAGGGGTCTCCCTGCCTCATTCATGTTTTTGTCTTGATGAAACATAGTAGGAAAAGAAGGAGAAGAAGTGATGTGATTGAGAGACGGAGATTTTGGAAGTTATTGATTAAAAAAAAAGCGCCGAAAATTGTTGTCATTAATTTATAAAAGTGAGGTAATCGATATTTATCCATATCCATCTTTGAATCCAAACGAGGAGGGGAGGAGGGGAGGAGAGTGGGAGGAGTCTCAGAGGAACGTGAGCAAAGGGAGCAGCAGGAGAGGAGGAAAAGCTCTGACACAGTCTGTGTGGCTGATGACGACGATAAAAGTGGGAAAAAGAGGAAGGGAAGAGAAGAAAACCGAGACAGTGATGCAGGGAACGTGAGGATGAAGCAAGGTTATGAACATCATTATCAGGGAGAAAGAGAGAAAAAAAAAAAAATGCTGGATTACAAATAAGACCAAAAAGGGTTGTAGGTAGTGTTTTCATCCCAAGATGGAGCTGAAAAACCTTGACTGTTTTGAAATGAAAAGTTGAGATGAATCATTGGGATCATGCCAGTTTGGTAATGGTTGGTTATCAGGTCTGACACGTTGTGTCCTGTTTGCTGGTGATGCTAAAGCCTGTCTCCGTTAAATTGGATATTTAGAGTCTTTTTTTTTAGCCGAAACCAACTCCATTTTGCTGCAAGTTGAGTTTTCGCTGTCCTACATATACCTACGTCTGTCTCATTGGCCACGAAGATAGCACCGTGCGGTGTCCTATATACAGACAGATGCCACGGCCACCGCACCGGTAACTAAACTTGTTTTTGCCCGGGGTGATTTCTGCATTTCGGGAGTGAGGCATCTGCAGTGTTTTTGTATCTAGTCAGTGTTTGACCTTCTGAGTCAGCAGCAGTGTTGAGACTGTTGAGAAAGAAAAGGAGGAAAGGAGACCAATGGAGGGAGAGAGGGAGTGTCTACAGGAAAAAAGACACCGATAGAAAGGGAGCGAGCGAGAGAGAGGGGGAGAGAGAGAGAGACGGACGGAGCAAGAGAGAGAGACACGGACAGACAGAGACTTGGTGCGGAAGAGTCGCCGTGTTCGTTCTGCTGGACTAGAATCATGTCACCTTTTCTACAAAGAGACGTTTCCTTCTTCACGTCTTTGGACTATTGATTTTTATTCATTTATTAAAAATTTTTTTTTTTTTTTTTTTTTTTGCAAAACCGTCAAATTTTCTCAAACGTACCATATGATGTCCTCACCGGACAATCCCCCAGGTTGCCCTCCTTCCCGCCCCCCTCCTCTCTCTCGCGTGGGTGAGCACCCTACAGTGGGAGAGGCGGTTAGGACTGTTGAGAAAGACGCCCCGTTGAGGCTGTCACCGTTCCGCATGCTTCGAGTCCTGGACTCGTGCCGTCCCCCAGGTATCCGTATCGGTGAGTTTGGTCACTTTTGTCGGCTGTTTCACTGTGGGATTACATCATTTTTCAGGAAGAGAGATTTATTTTTATTTTTTTTAAAGTTAGTCCAGAGAGAAAAGAAGTGGTGTTAGCACAGTGGGACACAGCAGCAGTTGATCCATGACTGCCTCTATCAGTAAGTCCAAAGGTTTTGATCTGAGACTTAACTGTTAATAGTCCTTTGTTCAGAACAATCTCAGTGACACAAACTCATTTCAGGACACAGCAACAGACCAGCAGCACCATTAAAATTAGACAGAGAAGAAAGACATCTAGATAGAATTAAAATAAACCTGACATCAGGTCACGTAAGTCTCACCATGTCTGAAAGTTTAGGTGAGAACAATTTTGAGAATTTTGAGCCAAATTGATTTCCTCACCATGTCTGAAAGTTTAGGTGAGAAAAAATTTGAGAATTTTGATCCAAATTGATTAGGCTTTATTTTCCAAAGTTAAACCTTATTTAGTTTAAAAAGAAAAAAAAAAGAAGAATTGATCACCAAACGCATCTTTGTTTTTCTCTTTGTGCTAGCAGTGAAAACCAGTCCTCATTCAGGCACCAGTAGAGTCAGAGTTGGATGAAGTCATGTCACTGATTTACAGAAAGTCAGCAGTTGTAAGTAGGTCACCCAGACTCCACGCAGAGGAGCAGGTGGAGCTCTTTGCATCTTTATTCTCGGCTCAAATGCAATTGAAGAACTGAAGATGATGATGATGATGATGAACCACAACAGGGACTGATGTCCTGAACGGGACAGTCAAGGTCTTGTTGTTAGATGGATGGATGGATGGGTGTGTGGATAGATGGATGGATGGATGATAGATAGATAGATAGATGGATAGATAGATGGATGGATGGATGGATAGTTAGATGGATGGATGGATGGATGGATTATAGATAGATGGATGGATGGATGATAGATGGATAGATGGATGGATGGATGATAGATGGATAGATGGATGGATGGATGGATGGATGGATTATAGATAGATGGATGGATGGATGATAGATAGATGGATAGATAGATGGATGAATGGATGGATGGATGGATGGATAGCACTTTATTTATCTCTCGGGAGTTCCCTTTGGGAAATTTAGGAAAATCTCACTCACTGACAAATAGATAAAATAAAGAATAAAATGGAAAAAAAAAACTTCAGTTAGACTTAAAGCCAAATTTCACACTACACGTTAAAATTCTACACAGACTATTTAGAGTATATGTGTCAAACTCAAGGCCCGTGGGCCAAATGTGGCCCACCAAGTCATTTTTTGAGGCCTGCGGGAGTTTTGTTCCCTTATAATAAAGTCCATGTCGCTGAGTTTCTTAACTTGATAAATTGCAATGTACAATATTTGAATTACCGTAATACGTTATGGAGTAGTTACAGCTATACAGTCTTACTGTCACAACCGGCCCTTTAAGGGGGACTGTGTTGCTGATTTAGAGGTTTTAAACTCAGTTAAAGGACCAGAAACGTGCAAATAAAGCAGAACAAATGAAAGCATAATTAATCATATCTTGATATTATTTAAAGATTACTTATATCTTTGTTCAAATAGTGTTTTTTTGTCAAAACGTAGAACGGGCTGTTCTTTAAATTACATTATTTTTGATTGAATTTTTTAAATTTGTCGTCTGCTCGAGAGAGTGACATCAGAGCTATAGAAGATACTGACGTGTGTGTGTGTGACATGCGAGTACATGCGCAAGATCAGTTTCCTCCGTGTCTCATTTACATTGACATCAGGGTTTGAAGGGTTGTTATCCGGTGCGTCAACTCATGGCTGTATCGCTGTGAAAGAAACAGATAAAGATGAACTGGAAACCACCTCAGGCTGCAACTGACAGACAACCGCATGATCATAAATAGCTTTGTCTGTTCTGTCCTACAGCTGGGGCGTCAGTATCACTTAAAAGACTCATTTTACTCTGCGGTTCTGTCTGCATCAACATTTTTTTTCTTTTCTTCTCCATCTGAGAAATGGGAACAGAGTTTGGTTAATATATTTGTAAAGGATAATCGGCATAAAGGCAACGTCGGACATCCTTTTTTTTTATATGCCATGGCCATTTCTGTTGAAATCATACTAAGCCCTAAAAAAAAAAAAAATTGCATTTATTTATTTAAGATTTCATATTATTTACACATCAGGAAATCGTGCAAAATGTATTTGTCTAGTTAAAAAAAAAGCTTCATTTAACATTGTTTGGGTATGCCTATTTGCATTGGCAGCTGTAGGGCGTTTAGGTCATGTCAGGAAAGCTTTGGGTTAATATTTGATATGGTAAACCAAATGTCAGGTGGCATGAGCTGGATTCAAATAACAATTTTTGACTCAACTGTGTAAATTTGAAGAAAGTTTCGTTTTTCCGTTTCCCAGATGGTTCATTTTAAGTTGTTGTTGTGCTTGTTTTTGTTTCCACTTTGCACGTCTCACATTAACCCTCATTCGTTCACACCACAGTAGGGAGCAATCCAATAAGACTTTTATTATCAGAGAGATGATGTGGACCTCTGCGTACTTGCCCGCCTCTGTGCATTTGAGTCCGTGTCTAACTGCTGCTCTCAGTGCTTGCTGGTTTATATTGATCAACACCTGATCTCACTGTCAGTGAACACCCTCTAAATTTAGGAGAGAGTGATGTGAAACAGAAGGTAGTCAAAAAAAAAAATGAAATCGTGAATGTGAATTACTCGGATCAGTTTTGATTTCTACTTCAATTAAAAAAAAAAACAAAAAAAAAAAAAAAAAAAAAAAAAAATCAAAAATAAATATGTATGTGTGTCACAGGTATAGTCCATGAAAACATAAAGATGGGATCAGACGGAGAGAGTGACCAGGCATCTGGAACCTCGTCTGATGAAGTCCAGAGTCCAGTCAGAGTCCGGATGAGGAACAACCACCACAGACGCATCTCTAATGAGGTAAATACGCACACTCACACACACAGATACTAGAAATGGGTCGATTTGATATTCAGGATCGGTCAAAATTTCAGGATTGATATAGAAAAAAACCCCCAAAAACAACCAATAGCCCGTCTGATGTGATAGCTAGGCCCAAATGCTAACCTTTACTTTGCGCGACAAAGTTTAATCGAGCTATCCCTAACGATATTGTCCTGAAGGAGAATACAAACCTGGCTATTTTACATCCATGTCCACTCACTGGTAACTTAGGAGAAGCAGCTAAGGCTAATTTGTTTGATTTTTAGTATATCTTAAAAATCTAGAAATGCCATTGAAATTTATAGAGTAGGCAACTGGACTTTGATAGACGTTTTCATCAGTTTCCACCAATGAAGTTGGTCTTTCGAGCTCAAGGAATAAGTGCAGTTGCTTACAACTAAACTCTATGGACACCATAAACCTGGATGAATGAGAGTCTTCACAGACATAGCCTTTAAAATTGTTAATATTGGAGGTTTTAGGGGTCTGTACATATTTGACATTGAATGTACAGCTGGACCTCCATGTAGACCTGGAGCCTCCCTGTCTTTTCATGTAGGTCATATTATTTCACTGATGTGTCATTGTGGATTAGTACTGGCGATGGTAGTTGAAAATAACAAACTTAGATTTTAAGTGAGGTGCCAGCACCCCTGGGGTTACGCGAGAAAAAGATGTGTTATGCTTTTTGAGTGGGATTTTTATGCACAATAAAGACGTGTGAGTAAACATTTCTATTGTAAAAAAAATTAAAAATCAAAAGCAGGCATCGGGGGATTCAGGTACTATAGGAAATGTAATCTATCCATCCATCCATGCATCCATCCATCCATCCATACAGACATCCATACATCCATCCATCCATACATCCATCCATCCATACATCCATACATACATACATACATACATACATACATCATCCATACATCATCCATACATCCATACATACATCCATCCATACATTCATACATCCATCCATCCATACATTCATCCATCCATCCATCCATCCACCCATCCATCCATCCATACATACATCCATACATACATCCATCCATCCATACATCCATACATACATCCATCCATCCATACATTCATACATCCATCCATACATGCATACATTCATACATCCATACATACATACATACATCATCCATACATCCATACATACATACATACATAGATACATACATACATCATCCATACATACATACATCCATCCGATACAAAAATATCAGTATAAAAATATGTACTTCTGAGTTGTTCAAAGTCTATATATTTTCTTGCATCTCCATAAGCTGCGTGTAGTGGTGCAAATATCCACAGTTCTTTTCACCTTGAATACGCCCGATGTGGAATCCTGTCAGTGATGTAATAAAGTGCACACGCATGAAAGGTTTTCCCATGCACCACATGCCCAGAATTCCAGAGGAAAACCGCTCACTATGACTTAAGAAATGGTTCTGTTTTTTTTCAAATGCTTCACTCTGAGAATCACTGAAACGAATCTGTCTTAAACATGTCTTGTCTAAAACCTTGTCTATTTTTTTCATTAGTTCAGTTGAAGAAAAGTGAACTATTTATGATAGAGTGATTAAAGATAATCAACCTTATGTGTGTATGCAGATCAAAAATCAAAATGGTGGCTCTATTAAGGCATGCTTTAAATATATTGTGAATGATGCTCTAGTGAACACCAAAAATACACTTATTTATAAGGCTTTGAATAAAAAAAATCAATTTCTATGGTCTATCAATTTCAATACATTTTATTAAATTTTTTTTTTTAATTCCTTCTGCATTACAGGACATAAACAAACGCCTGTCACTCCCTGCTGACATCCGGTTACCTGAAGGTTATCTGGAGAAGTTTGCCATGAACAGTCCACCGTTTGACAAACCAATGAGCCGAAGACTGAGACGAGCCTCACTGGTCAGTGTGTGTGTGTGTGTGTGTGCGTGCATGTTTACAAAGCAGCGCTGAAACAAGTTTGGTTTTATCTTCGCTTGTTGAACCAGTAACGACAGACCGAGACGGATTATTGGTCGTACGGGTCAGGGTTTCTTTGTCGGGTAACAGTTCAGGAATATGTTGTGTGAGTGTTATATTTAATTGTGTGTCTGTTGTGCATTTAGGATGTGACATACATGTGTGTATAAGAACATGGGCTGCAGGAATGTTGGCTGTCTGATTGACTTGTTATGAACAATTAATTATATTGAATTAATTGCAACTTAATTCAATATAAAAATAATACATATTTTTAAGAATATAGTGGAATTTAGATTTTTACAGATAAATCAGAAATAGCTGAAATGGCCAGAAAATTAAAAAGAAAAAAGTAAAAAAAAAAAAAAGAGAAAAAAAAGGGTCAAAGGTAGTAAAATAATTTTAAAAATTGCACCAAACTTAGTAGTCTGAAAGTAGCCAAAACTTGGTAGTAAAAGTTTGGATTTAGTTTGTTTCTATAGGTTGCCCTTAGACTGTCAAAACTCTCCAGGGAATCGACCACTTTTACCCCACAACGACCAACATTAGTTTTTCATTTCAACCCCAAATAGTATTTAACAATAGAAAACAATGAATGAAAAATGAATGCATAAAGGAGTAAATGATTGATCTTCGTAAGTTAAGTTTTTCTTTTTTTATTTGTATAGTACTTTTCACTGAAAGAATTTACTATTAAGTACCTCAGTTAATATCGACATAATATAAACTGTAATACAACCCAAGCTTAGCTAAAAGCCTGTTTGAAATACAAAACAAAGACAGACAGCAACATAAAAAAATACACAAACAAAAATGAAATCTACACCCTGTTAAAAGCACGTCTAGACAACTGGGTCCATAGCTGCCCTTTAAAAGTCTCGGCTATAGTAGTCTGGGGTCACTGATCGAAGTTAGTTAAGTTAGTTAGTAGTTTTAAGAGGATCTGAGAGAACGTGCAGTTCTACACTTTCAGCAGCTTAGAAATGTAAGCCTGACCAGTTAAAAAATGAGAACTCCCAAAAAAAAAACAAAAAAAAAAACAAATTCAAAGTTCTGCTTACATTGGTGGTTTAGCAGTTAGCAAAGCCCCCACCGCAACCCCAACAGAAATGAGATTAAAGTGCTTCTTCACTGTGGTACCAGTGTCCCGACTATGTTCCTGGTATCTTCTCACACATGAACATTTAATGTGAAACCGTGTTCTGTGCTCCGCAAATGGCTGCTTGTTTAATGATCTCAAATGAAGCTGCTGTGGATCAGTTTTCCAGCGCAGCTGTCAGGCACCTTCCATCTATTATTCACAGCAACTCAATGAGACCTGCTGATTTTTAATCCCTGAAAGGAAATGATACATGGAGTGTTTTTTTTTATTTTTTTATTAATACTTTTACACAACACATTCTTGGTGTATTCAACATTTAAAATAATAATGAAAATCAATCAACCAAACATTTTAAGCCATTTTGGCCATTTTTGCCGAGTTAGCACTGAGGTGCTTTCAGCATGGCACCGTCCCCCACTCACTGCTCCCCGGGCAGCTCAAAGCTGCTTACTGTTCTCTTTGGTGATGGGTTAAAAGCAGAGATCATATTTCATTGTGTGCAGTGGTGTGCTGTGTCACAATGATAAGTAGTTCACTTTCCTTAAAAATGGAGTTACTTCACTTTTAGCTGGAAGGCAAAGTTAGCCAGTAGCCAACAACATAGCACCAAAAGATCAAGGAAAATAGAAAAAACAGAAAAGCGTATTGTTTGCCATTGTCTCCCATTAATTAGTTGTTAAACCAGACAAAAAGTGACATTAAAGATAATATAGCATTAGCTTTTAGTAGCTAACACCTGTGCAAAGATAACCAAGAGCTAAACAACTCCTTATAAGAACTAAATAATTGAATGCGTTAAACAAATACTTAAAATGTAAGCCTTAAAGGGGTGTAGGAAGTTAAAAAGTGCACTTTTTTCCCCCATCAAATTGTGTCTTTACTTAGTCACTTTAGTCGGTGTCTTGGTGCCGATGTCATCTTAACATATGCTGCACATGCTCTGTTGGACACCGGAGGGCGCTGTTGCTTTCGTTAGCCATTTTTATAATGACGTGATCAGCAGCCTGGAGTCGATACAGCAGTTACTGTATATAGACATAAACACATCTGAATCGACAGACAGTACCAGTGAAAAAAACAAGTTCATATAATAAATAATTCAATCCAATGTGAGTAAGTAAACAGTGACCTGCAGAGGGCGCAGTGCGACGTAGCGCCATCATTAATGATTCATCACTTTCAGCCTCAGGGTCACATTCATAATGTAGATGAGACCTTCACGAACACAGGGTAATTAATGAGGAAGTCACTTATAGCCACTCATGTCCTCTGTTTGGCTTCTGTCGTCTGACTGTGCCCCCTCCGACCCACACGTCCATCATTATATCTTGTATCATACCACAGTAGGCTCAGGCTTAATGTTGTTTAGGAAACACGTTCAGAGAGAAATAAACAGTACAAGCACAATACATTAGTGGATGCTGTGTGACTGGCTGCTCCAGGGATGGAGAGGACTCATTTGCATGAGTCTTAAAATGAATCTTAAAAACCAATGTCAATTTTTAAAAATTTGATAGATAGACAAATAGATAGATAGATGGATGTATAGATGGATAGATGGATAGATGGACGGATGGATAGATAGATGGATAGATGGATGGATGGATAGATGGATGGATGGAT